TCTATCTATCTATCTATCTATCTATCTATCTATCTATCTATCTATCTATCTATCTATCTATCTATCTATCTATCTATCTATCTATCTATCTATCTATCTATATATCTATATATCTATATATATATATATATATATATATATACTATATATTATACTATATGTTAAATCAATAACAGACTCTACCAACAAAAAGGCCTTCAGGACAATTTCTATATATAAATCTTTGCATGCATTTGTCTAATTAACACCCCTGGTTGTTTGTTCATGTAAGTGCTGTGTTCTTTTATATACTTCATTCATTTTATTATTTTTTTGTTTTGTATATTTGCCATTTGCTAAAAACAAAAAACAAACAAAAAATAAAAGTGTCATTGCACGATCTGTTCCGGGACCGGAAGACGATCCATACTGTGCATGTGAACTCTGGGCGCAGGAAGTTGCGCCTACAATACCCCTATATTTTGTAATGAAGAGGAGCTAATGGTGCATGTACAACTTTTAACAAGAGTCTATGGGCAAAGAATATAACGCCTCCAGGGTGGAAATACATCATCAAGCAGCAACAATGTTTTTGAAAGGAACAACTTTACTCATCATTAACTATAAAATATTTATCTTACACAACTAACAAAATATATACATATTTTTCAAAATAGTTTAATTTTATAATTTAATTTTTATTTAATTTTTTTTTTTGTCTTCAAGGTAATATGGTGAGTGGTGTGAGTGGTGGGGCGGCACCCTAGTGCCCTCTATTGAACAGCCACCACTGTTTTACACTGTACTGTATAGCCTATTCTGTCTTACTATCTTGTATCATTTTTATAGAAGTATTTTATAGCGTTATCTGTTGTATCATTTTGTGTTGTATTGTTCGACACTTTTTTCAGTTGTTGGTTTCCCAAAAAACAACATTGTTTAAAACAGTTTTGTCACCGTGAATGCCCCTGAACCACACTGTATTTTATAGTTTTGGATCATATTATATCACCGTTTCAGGTTGATTTGTTTTGTGTCATAATGTATATCACACATCTTAATCTGGATTTGTGAAAGTATTAATTTATTGTAATGCTTCTTAAAGGGCCTGTGACATGCATATCCTCCAAATAAAAAAAGTGGAAGAAAACATCTTATTTAAGACATTTTATCACATAAATGGGATTTTCTTTTGAACTTGGTGCAGCCAAAGTGAAACAGGAAGTGACAACAAAGGGGAACTCTTTAAAAAAGGGGAAGTCTCTGGTCTTTGTTTGTTTAAACAATATTATTTTCTTCATCTCTCTCTCTGATAGTGACTCAGTCGCCCAAAACCCCATCCAATTCTTCTCTACCATCTGTGTTGTTAACCGGTGTAGCAACGCTCCGTTTACATGCAGGTGTTCCTCTTTGACATCACTTCCTGTTGCTGCACATATGAATAGCTCAACAACTGGTCATCTCAGAGGTATGGTTTTGTTTTTGTGGCAATACGTAATTAATTTTGTCTTTGCACAAATACGTTCATATTGATTACAAAATTTGATGTCATGGGCATTTCTTACTTTTTAAAACAGATTTCAGATATTTTGAGCGGGAAATGACTATAAACATGTTTATTTGCATCTTTTCCAGCTGACAGAATGGATGTATGATGTACGTTTACACGGTTTACACCAGAGTTTTATAGTTTAGAATGTTGATCCAGAATTTTAACGTAATGAATTTACTTTATCAACATTTTCAGGAGTTTAACCTTAGTTTCATGTTAGTTTGAAGGGAATGGAAACTGGTAACATGTCCAGAAGCAAGGAGGCAGTGGTCAGGTACCTTGTCTGATTGTTAAGATATTTGTTTTTAGAGCATCAACTATTACAGCTGAAGTGTTGATTCTGAAGACTCAGCTCCTCTGCTTGGATCCTAAAAGAGCTAGGCCTGTCGCAATAAACAATAAATCAATTAATCACACGATAGATGAAAACTATCGACCTCATTTTCATTTATTGGATTTAGCATTTCTTCGTGTCTCTCGCTTTCTACCGAAGACACTGGATGACAAAAGGCTCAACTCCGGTGCTCTTCACCGACCCCTCCCTTTCTCTGTTCTCTTTAAAATCCATTTTAACCGTCCAAAATTGTGTTTTTGGATCGTTAACAGCAGCTAAGCTGATAAGCTAAGCTACGAGCTAAGCTAACAGGTCAAACTTGGAAAAAACCTTCGTCTTGTCTAAGCTCCAAAATTCACAGTTGAAACTCGTGTCTTCATCTAAAAAGTTGTTTTTCTCTGTAAAAAGAAACTGAGAACTTGTTTACTGATTTTTTATCAAAAGCTTTGTGTGAAAAATGCTATGATAAAGAGCTCAAACCACACCGAGTGTCTGCCATTTTGAGAACTGAAAAAATGGATGAAGAAACAGCCCATGTCACGTCAAGGGGCTTCCCTCCCATTTTTCTTAAAGAGGCACGCTGCTCGCTCCCTCACTATCCATCCTTCTGTTCAAACTGTCTTATACTGCTATCCGGTGGTCAAAAAAGGTACTACATGCAAAACAAATCAACATTTATTCTTAAATTTGACAGTAATTACTGATTATTGTCAAATTTAAAAAAAATAATTATCCTTTATCGCAATAATTTCTGAGACAATTAATTGCCCAGTAAAATTTTTATCATGACAGGCCTATAAAGGACTCAGATGTGAGAAGAGGCGATAAGAAAAATAACAAAGGTACATTTATTTTCTTCTTTCAGCTGCTCCCTTCCTCAGGAGTCACCACAGCGAACTAACTCATGTGAAGACTTGGCAATTATTTTTACGCTGTATGCTCTTCCTGACACAACCACAAACCACCGAGCTACCACAGCCCTCTGTGTGGAGCAGAGAGCTGCTATCTAGGGCGCCCGAGGGAGCAGATGATGAGGGTTAAGGGCCTTGCTCAAGGGCCCAGAGTGGGGCAAATGAGGGTGGAGACTGGTGTGGGAGTTTCACCTTTCCCACGCACATTTTGATCTTGTCCATCCAGGGAGTCGAACTGGCGACCTTCCAATCACAGGCCCATCTTCTCTAACCTCTGCACCACCACTCCCCGTATGAATGGATTAAAAAAATTATAATCTGTAAGACTTCGTGTTGAATCCCTACTCTAATAACCAGGTCACAACAATCCCTGTTCAGACTGTAAGTCAAAGTGAAAGTGTTCACGGTTCCCATGCTGTGATTGAGTCCCCTCAGTTTTCATCTTCCTGGCTGCACATCTTTACCTGTACGCGTGGCACAGCGTGCACTTCCAGTCTGCTGCTCCCACCCTGCACCTGCTGCAGATGCGGTGGCTGCAGCCTCGACACACTGCGCCCTTGTTCCAGAACTTCCCCAGGGGCCTCTGGCAGCGGGCGCAGGTTCGCTCCCCGTACTGCCGGGCATAACTCTTCGCACCCTTCCTCCGCTGCTCCTGCAGCTCACACTTCATCCTCCTGAAGATTGAGACAGGAGGAGCACAGGCCTTGTTTTGATCATCACAACAGGAGAAAACTTGAAAGCACATTTTAGTTAAAAAAAATAATATGTATATATTTTTTCTTTTCATCTTCAGCAAAAAAAAAATCTGCTTTTAAATAAAAATACAAACTTGTATATTTTCTCATAGGCTATTTATTAGAAATTCAGTCACTTCAAATGTAAAGTTTGACTCTGAAAGAGAGAAATTAATCTTTACATCCTGCTGTTAAAAAAAAGCTTATTTTGATTAAAATGATGATTTTATTCAAACTGGCAGGATCATATAAAAACAGACAGTTCTGTCGGATTCCTGCAGTGATCCAGCATGAATCGTCTCACCTGATCCTGTCCTCTTCGACTGTCCTCAGCTGTTTGTCTCTCCAAAGAACCTCCAGGACTATTTCTCTCTCCAGGATTTGAAGGGAACCTAAATCCATCTTTAAAGCTGCTTCTCCTCTCCTCATCTGTTCTGCCGTCTGCTCCTCTGTCTTCGTTTTGTTCTGTCGCCTCCTCCTCCTCTTCGTCCTCTTTAACCCTCCTCCTGATTGGACCCACCCTCAGACCTCCTCGTTTGTCTTCTGGAGCTGATAGATCTAATAAAGGCAGATTGCAAAGGGCAGTTAAAAGTCCAGATATAACCCTTATTTCACACTTAGACGACTTTAATGCACCTTTTATCTAAACATAAGCAGAAACTTTCTTCCTCTGAAGTTATCATAACTAAAGCTCTCCTTCTGGTCACACAAGTGTCTTCAGAGTAATTTCAGACCCTCAGCAGCCCACAATCAGATGAGTTATTTTGGTTTCCTCTCACGTTGCAGACTTCCTCTCAGAGCTCTGCTGTGTTTGCATCACAAGTCATTCCTTTTAACAGAATTCAATCTGCTTCCTGCTGAAGCTTCAGCTGCAGGGCTTGCAGCGGCGCTTCAGCGATGGCCGCAGAACAAACCAAATGCCAGCAGATGCATTATTGATGACTGACGTCTGTCGCTGACCTAGTTTTAGTTTTTCTTCTTTTTTTGGGAAATCAGACTCAGATGCTTAATCTTGAAAAATGTGAAATTTTTGACCTGAAAAGAGCTTTCTGTCCTGCGGATGGAGGGCACAAAACTGTAAACAAGACTGAAACAAGAAGTAAATTGAAGAGGATGCACAAAATATAAATCAAATAAAGGAGACAAAGCGAAAGTCTTGCATTCCTTAAAGGAATATATCACAAATCGTTTTGGGTCAAATCTGGAAAACGAGTTTTGTGTAATCTCAGGTGATGTTGCAGTAGCTCACATGAGTTGTTGAGTATGTGTTGTGAGCAACGTTCAGCAAATACCACATCAACTTTCAGCTCAACATTTCTAAAACGGACAGAGTTGTAGCCTTTTTTTGTGTTTAATTACGGTAGTTGTGGCGGAAATCTTAAAATGAGTTAACTCCGACAGTTAATGACTCATGCACGTTCATCCAGTGATTGCTTTTTGAAAGTTTCATAAAAGTCTGTCTGTTGGTTCATGAGGTATTTTGCTAAGAGACACATGAGCACACGGACGCAGGCGAAAGCAGTGGACAGTGATAAAACTGAACCAGACACAAAGTGAGCCCAAAAGAAACAGCCTGCAAGAACAGCAAGGAAGTCATGATAAACAGCAACAAATCCCTGGTGTGGAAGGTGAGCAGAAGACCAGGAGAATGAACTGTGGCAAAAACGTTACTACAGAACAAGATACAAAAGCTGAAAACCAAACATAGAAACTAAATGAGTCATGAAATCTCACTGTGGTCTGTGAAAAGCTGCTGTCAGGTCTACAAACTCACGAAGAGCAGAGCAGCTATGTGTGACGACAGCTCAGATGATTTGACTTGCAGGCTAAAAAAGAGTGGCTGATGTCACCCAGTTTAACTGCCGGAAACCCACCATAGATGGGGTTACCCTGGGACTGAACACAATTCAATAGAAACATCTCATCACAGTTCCCATCGCTCATGTGATTACCTGCTTTTTATAAGTTAATGAAGGAAATTAACAAAACCCTGCCTAAAAGACTTTTTCAATACTTTGATTAGATTGAGAAGCTGCATGGTGGAGTAGAGATTAGTCACCACAAAGCGAGAAGGTCACAGGTTTGTCTCCCAGCCTGCAGGTGTGCCACCAAGGAGGGGCCAGTGCATGGATGAATGGTTGGATGGATAGATGAGTATGTATGTATGTATACATGTATGTACAGGTATTTGTGTAAGTATAATAGATGGATGATGGATGGATCGATGGATGGTTTGATGGACAGATGGATGATAGATGACAGATGGATGATGGATGGATTCACAATGGATGGTTGGATGATGAATGGATGGATGAATGGAATGACAATGGATGGATGATGATAGACAGATGGGTGATGAATTAATGATAGATAGATGAATGATGGATGATGGATGGATGGACAATGGATGGATGGATGGTTGGTTGGATCACAAATGGATGAATGAATGAATGATGGGTGGATGGCTGGATGGATTGACAATGTATCGATGATGGATGGATGGGTGATGGTTGGATGGATTGACAATGAATGGATGGATGATGGATGGATGGGTTGATGGATGATAGATGATGATAGATGGATGGATGGATGATGATGGATGATGATGGATGGATGGATGATAGATGGATGGTTGGATGATAGTTGGATGTCCTTGTGTTTTGTTTGCAGGGAGACATTAGCAGCAGAATTGCCAAGTTTTGTGTCTGTGGGTACTCATGGGTCTAGGATAATTCCTGGCACAAATCAGATGGAAAAGGTTGCGTGCTCTGCTGAAGCACCTGGCCTCAGGCACATCTGGACCTTTTAACGAGACAGTAATTGGAAACATGCAGCTAACATGAGCCGAAGGTGGAGCCACTCTGAACACGTGACGCAACAATCAGACGGATGGTGAGGAAACCTTTAAACCTCTAAACTAAATCATCTCAGAGGTGAGCAACAACGCTTGTTATCAGTTCAGAAACATTTAGACCTTTGAGCTTATTATTAAAAACTGAAAGCTATCCAGATGTTTTACAGATGTTTCAAGTAAAACAAACATCTTCCTTTGATGTCTTAAAGAAAAATTACCGTAAGTAGGAGTGTTTTTCAGATTTATTTGACAGGAAATAAAACAACCAAGTGGCCATAATAAATAAACTATACGAATTTGTGGGCTCTTGTGTTTTATCAGTAATAATATTAAAACCAATAAATGTATACCTTAAAGGGATAGTTCAGTTATTTTAACGTGAGGGTCTATAAAAAGTTATGACTAATTAATATCTTATCTGTTGTAGATAGTTCATTGAATAAAGAACTGAAGGCTAGGCTGAAATAAGACTAAAGTGGATTTATTTAGTTTTTAAAAATCATAATTTTTATTTGTTGTCGTTATGTGGTTGTTACAGCAGAAATATTATAGTTTTCCTGCTGAAACTTTACAACTACTGTATATCACCAACCATCATTCATGTCAAAGTTTTACTATCATGCGACAGATTGAGACACTATGCTCAGAGTATGTGCTGTGAATACTTTTCAACTGCTTCCACATCAATTTTTTTTAGCAAAATATCCATAAAACTGACAGAGTTATAGCCATTTCTGTGTAGGCTGTCCTTTAGCTGTGACTCAGCTACAGCCACTTAAATTCTTTGTTTTTTTTAGCTGATCTGCTTAGAAAGAAATGTTTTTTTACTCCTAACTGAAATGGTTTAGAGCTATCTACATCAGGTAATATGATAACTGTTCACAGCATGTCCACAGAAGATTTGACCTGTTCCTTTCGAATGTCAGTCTGTTCCTTCATGTTCCTACAACAAGCAGCATCCAAACCGTGGAGCGCTGAAAGCTGTTGATAAGGCCGGTGTCGGCCTGTGTTTGCAGATAAGAGCCTGAGCTGGTTACTGACCAGAGCTGCCAAGAAGCCTGCAGAAAACAGGAGGGACTCAGCTGGTGGGCATCCTCTTCATCGTAAAGATCAGCAAGGAAAGGGGCCAGGCGGCTCCTGTGAAAGACTCGAATGGTTCAGGTTGTCTGAGGTTTAGTGGTCGCTAGGTTCACATCCGAGAAGAGAGCGAGTCATCCCACCACATCAGTGACAGTAAGAGATACCCGACTGGTTGCAGAAGAATCTAAATATGACAACCTCATGAGAATAGATTCTCTCACATGCTCAGCAGCCGTCGTTTCCTGGAAGAACTGAGTATGAAGGTGAACTCACAGACTGTCACATCCTCCACGAGGAAACCTGTAAGAAAAACTCACCTTCTCTTACTTTAAAGAAGACCTGCAAACTGACCTGTGACCTGCTCCTCTACATGCAAATGCAATATGAAGTCTGCAAATTTGTTTTGCAGGAAATTATATATTTAACCACAATATGGCTCAAACAGTTCAATTTTCTTTCTGACGTTTTATTTTAATTTACATCAGTTGAAAATACATCAGCCAAGATTAAGACAGTAACACGCTTGCAAACCTTCAGTCAAGAATTACATTAAAGCATGGATTTGTTGGCAAAATGTCTATAACTTGACCAAAAAACAGAAGACTAAACGTTCAGTTTGTTCTTTAAATAGTATTAAGATTGCTGTTTTAGCATGCTATGAAGTAAAAGACAGTGGATTAAAGGAAACTTTCCCTCAACATGAAGAAATACCTAATAACAGAACATGGTTGCAGCAACATTTACTCAGTAATCTCAACGAACACAACTGAGACCTGAGCAAATACGTATTTAGAAACACTCAATCTGATCTGTGAGAACTGCACTTATGACAATAATGCAAAGCAAAACGAGGCCATTTTTGCTCCAGTAGACGAAAGTCACAGCGTCGATGAGACTTAGAGCAGCAAGGTGCACCTTCTTACCTTCAGGGTTTCTGCCCCGCTGCACTGGTCAGCTGGAGGAAGTGGCAGATTTTAATGTTTAGAGCAGTGCTTCCTCCATCCATTTCTTCATACTTTCTGTTGCAATCTGGTGGTGGTTCGCAGAGCAACTGCAGGATGGTTGGTTGTGCCTCAACGTGAAAATAAAATCCCCTAAGTGTGAAGACAGTGCATCCACATCAGAACCTGATACTATTAGGCCTATATGTGGTTGAAAATACAGAAAACAAGTCACCAGGTCTGTGTATAAAAGACTTTAGATGAAACGGTTTCAACCGCATCTGCTGAAAACACTGAGAAAAGGACAATACATGGCAACACACAGGCAGTAACAGGTTTGGATGAATTACTGGATGAAACTTTTGGGTAAAAACAGACATTTACAACCATCAGGACCTGAGAGACACTTTACTCCAGCTGTTCATCACATTTTCAGCAGACAGCGCTTAAGGATGCGTCTGGTTGCAGCTAAAAGCTGCTTCGTTTGTGTCAAACTGTTATTTTGGTAGTTTGCACAGATTCAACTAAAGAAAAAATTAGAACAAATGTGTGGGTGACAGAAACCTACTGCCAAAAGATCCAGTTTAAATCATCTATTTTAATGATTTGAGTTTTGGATCTTCTTTAAGCCTGAAAGTCTTACAGGTCAGTGTTACATCAGAGAAGTAGAAAAATATTCCACTGACATTGGGACACATGAAAAAGCAGCAAAACTTTGAAAACGTTTCAAAAAAGCCTGAAGAACTTGAATCAAAACCCTTTTAGGGTTACAGAAAGATTACAGAAAACAGCCTGGCTCCTCAGAGGAATGTACAAAAGAAAGAAGGAACTGCTCAAGATTTTTGCACAGTACACTACATGTGTATAAAGGGGGAAGTTATCGTTTCGTCTAAAACACACACACACACAAAAACCTCAAGAAGGGAATACCCTTAAATCTCAATTTAAAATGAATGCAATTTTAGTGATTTAAAAAAAATTAACCTCATCTAAAAAATAACCTTATCTAACATAAATAAAACTACATTAATAGTTTACATTTTTAATACAGCATTAAAGATATTCCCTCAAATTATATTTTCATTATTACTACTTTTTAAACAACTCAACCCCCGCTCTTCTTTATTACACATTAGTTCTCATGTTAACACATGTACATGCTCTTAAATGACTTGATTCAATGAAATCATCTCTCCTCAATAATTTTTTTTATATATTTGTAAGAAAATTAAAACTAAATTATGAGCTTATGTAATTCACACAGTGATCAAATTAAAATTGAACACATGAAAGGAAAAAAGTTTTGGTAAATTTCAGCGAAATACAAGTTTCAGTCGGGATTTGTTGCCATCTAGTGGCACGAGCTGTGAACTGCAACCAACTCGAAATCTACTGGAAAGTTTGAGGTCATTTTCTTGTGGTTTTCTACAGCAACATGTTTCTGAACAAAAAGGAAGCATGGTTAACACGTTAAATATTAAGTTTACGCCAAAAGATCTGTGAGTTTTTTTTATATTAAAGAACTTCGTAAAATTTACAAAACTGGATCCCCTTTTCATTTTCTTCCAAAGTTTTGATTTAAACATCCATCCACACATCTGAGATAAACACACAACTCACACACACAAGAAAAACTGAAATATCGTTAAGCAATTTCCAAAATACTTCCATCTGTATTAATAGAAAATAAGCATAAAAATACTAAACACAACATTTGGCATTAACAAAACTTACATTTGTCCTTAAAAAAAAAAATCTTCCACTTCAAAGTGTGAGGAAATAAAAAGTCTTTCAGCAAAACGGATGGAAATCTTTGGTGATCTAAAAACACGATCAGGGACCAATCCATTGTTATACATTAAATAGTTGTGTAAAAAAAATGTTGCACTTAAACACACCGCACATCTGAAAAGCAAATAAAACATGGCTGGAGCTTAAGTTTGAGATGAGTGATTATAAAATCTTTTAATTATCGAGTTGTAGAGCAAAATAAAAGCACCCGGCTACAGAGCAGGATGGCTCTTTTTATAGGCATCAAAGCTGTATAAAAAAATAACGTCTTTGGTGATAGAAAAAAATCCTATGAACTTCACATGTGCCAAACAACACGTGTTCACATGTGACAGGCGTTAATCGAACGTGGGGTTTTTGTACGAGTGACTGGTCTGTAGAAATGTCTTGAGCTGTAGCGTCTCGTCCACCGATATCCTGCTGTGGTAGAAGCTGAGACCCGTTAAAATCTCAACGTCTCGAACCCGAGCGGTGTGAAAACTCATCCACTCGTCCACGAACGCCAAGTCCGACTCGTCCTGAAGAGCAACAGAAAGCAGGAGGAGAAACGAGTGAGCGGTTAGAGTTTGAACGGAGGCGGAGGCGGAGTGGGAGGAGGTGTTACTCACAGCGCAAACCTCCGAGTAGTCTGGCCTGTGGGGCAAGATGTAGGAGATGGCCTGAAGCGGGCCCGCACAGTTGACGGGGCTGAATGTCCGGTTGTGGCAGCTGGTCAGGATCAGGAAGAAATGTGTCGGCACGGGAGCTTCATTCCTGGAGACAGCAGAGTTTGAAGATGAACAAACTGTACGCCAATAGTGAATGTTGATAGTTTTTGAAACAAGTGTTTGTAGGAGTTCCAGTTTTTCTCCTGCAGCTTTTCTACACCAGGTGGCGCCAAAGAAGCTCACACCTGTGGACTATTCCCCTAATGAGCTGCAGGCGTATAAATGGCAGTAGATGACTTCAATTTGAAGCTGGTGCACTATCTGCCTACTGGTACTTGTGTTCCTGGCCTTGTCCTTGTGATCGGTGAAGACTAAGCTCTATTTTAAACGTGTTGTAGCACTGACTCCTGCGTTCCTCCTGTGTCTTCCACCACTTGCCCACCAGTTTATGAACTTCTCTGGAACTTCCTTGCTCCTTGCTACTGGAAACTCTTGGACCTTCACCTCAGTGACAACCTTGACTTCCAGCAGTAAGAAACAAACTGGATATCAAATCATCCTTCAGAATCTACAGCCCCATATTAACTCTTGTCCTTGCTCTCCAGGGTTCCAGTCCCTCCCTGCTGAATTACATCCTACTGTTTATTATTCACTTCCTGTAAATAAACACTGTTAAAACTTTCTCTCGTCTTGAAGTTGCTCTTTTTGGTCACTGGTCTCTGGGTATAGAGCTAAGCGTTAGTGTTTTTCTGGGCTGGAATTGAACAGGGAATGCAAATAAATCTGGATGTTTTTGGTGTGAGATAATCATGTGGGTAGGAGTTGCACTGTGTAGAAGAACAGAGGTAGTTTTGTGTTTTCTCAGCGCAGACGGATCCTGGTGAGCCGAGGGAGAAATTGTATCCACCACCAGGTGCAACGGTGGAGCCAAAGAGTGGCCAATGGTGGACTTGGCTACCATAGATTAAGCTTTGGCCACCACACCAGCCACCCCAATCATTTGAGGAAACTATACTGTTAAGCACAAGTTCCTAGAGTAATACGAGTGGCCATCTTGGATTTTGACATAGCAAATTAGTTTCTTACTCCCAGACGTGGCCGCTGGCCACACACCAAAATGGGAAGCCGGTACCTCACTTAATTTTCAAGCTATCGCGCTCACAACATTCACAGACAGGTGGACGAACAGACAGAGGGTATGTCCAATTCCCCCTTTTTGCTCTACGACAGGGGACAACAAAGTAAACTGATCTGATCGCTTCTATGGAAAAAAACAAGATCTCTCAATTTGAAAAGGATGGTAAAATGGAAACGATTAAAAAAAAAAAATCCAACCAAGGTGCTTTAAAAAAAAACACTAAAAAACATTTTCCATTAAACTTTTCACCATTTATTTATTTTTTTCTGACTGGATTAGATTCCATCTATCCATCCATTCATTTATCTGTCAGCCTTCCACTTGTTCCAGAGTTGGGTCACCGGGTCAGCAGCTTGAGCATCGAGGCCCTGGCATCTCTTTCCACAGCCACCTCTTCTGGGAGGATTTCCCAAACCAGCTGAAAGACATAATCTCTCCAGTGTGTCCTGGGTCTTAGGGTCTGCGCCCAGTTTCCTGGAAAACCTTCCTAGGGAGGCGTCCAGGAGGGCATCTTCTACCAGATGCCTGAACCATCGCCACCTTGCTGCTCCTCTGGATGTGGAGGAGGAGTGGTTCTACTCCGAGTCTTTCCTGGATGACTGAACTTCTCATCTTATCTCTAAGGAAGAGTCCAGCTATTCTGCAGAGAAAACTCCTTGACCGCTTGTATACAAGATCTTAATCTTTCAATCACTAATCAAAATTTGTGATCATAGGTGAGGGTAGGAACACAGACCGACCAGTAAACAGAGCTTTGCCTTGCAGCTCAGCTCCCTCTTCACTACAATGGACCGGCACAAAGTCCACAATACTATGGAAGCTGTCTGAAGAGGGTAATCCACAGGTCAGATCAGATTGTCCCCAAAAAATAAAAATAAAATAAAACAAAATGAAGCAAAATGTAGCTCTAAAAATATGTGTTGAGAATGACTTTCAAATACTACCACACTAAATTTTAGCTGAATGTTTGTAAAATTAACAGACTTACAGTCATTTTTTATGTTTTCTAAGATCAGGATATTTTCTAGACTGAATACGCTCGCCAGATTTTTTTTTTTTCTTTGAAAAGACATTCTTACATGGATTAAGCCAAACTTTAACTAAACCAGTCAAATGTTTAAAAGCTAAATGATGAACAGACGAAGGCGGTTTCTTACGCTGAAACTTTGGTGAGTGGATCAACTTTCCCATCAAAATCTTTATCAAAAACCGGCCCACTGATGATGTTGACTCCATTCAGCCCCTGTGAAAATCTTAGAAGAACGTCGCGATGGATATGGTTCCAGACCTCTGAGAAAATACAAATTAAAGCTTTTAGTTGTCCATCAAAAACTTATGACTAATGCGACTAATCTGGTTAAAAAAAAGAGGATTTGAGAGTTAAATCAGCGCCCACGTCATCCATCTACAATCTGCAGTAAAAGTGAAGAGCCACTGTGAGGCAGCAAATATCAGCTGATGTTTAAATTAGAGTCACATTTTTAAACATTTCTTGAAGCCACCTAACTTTCTCTAGATCCATGAATTACATCAATTAAAACAAAATCGCAAACTTTAAACAGTTTTATTAAATCAACTCCATCTGATGAGGGTTGTAACAATGAAACAGGACGGTAGGAGGACCGACTCTGGAAACTTTCCGTTGATGAAACCTTTAATAGTGTTTTACAGGAGAAGTTTAATCAGAGTAGTGATGCATAATTACAGCCTGCTGTCTGAAAATGAGCTTTAAGAGCAGCAGAGGCCTAAACGCTGCAGCAGCTGCGTGAACCCTTCAGCGTCAGCCGAGAAGAACAAAACAGGATGACATTCAGGAAATTCCTTATCTTCACAAGCTGATTAATAACCATCTTCAATCTGCTCAACATCTGACTTCTTACTTCTTGTTGAGTGCAGTAAAACAAGACAGGGACTCAGAGGAAAGAAAGAACAGGGTCACAAGCCGGGACTTGATCCTGAGTCAGCTGTGACGAGGGTTTAAGGCCTCTCTGCCGGGCAAATTGAGCAACTTGGCACCACTCCCCTTAAGGTTTTCACACATTAATCATTTCACTTTTACACATCTGCGATCATCTGAAAATATAAAGATCGACAATTGAGCACTCACTTCTGAATGCGGGGAACATCGGTGCCATGTTGGTGCCGATGAGAGAGTCAGATTCTGGACCGCTGGCGTTCAGATCTGTAGAGAAACCAGGCGTGGGATCTTTTAAAGGGTGACTGAAAACACTGATTTTATGTTGTAAGCATGTGAAATAATGTGACCAAGGTCAAAAGAAATATACAAAGATGTACAAACTGAGCAAAGAGGAGCTAAATAAAAGCTCTTACTTCAATTGACTCGTTTGATTCTGTGTCTCTTCTTTAATTACCGTATTTTCCGGCATATAAGTCGCAGTTTTTTTGCATGCCTGCGACTTATACAGCGAAGCGATTTATTTATGTTTTTATTCCCAGATTTATAACCCGCTTTTTGGCTGAGATATGACGATTTCATTAATTCTGACAAGGAAAATATTGAACACTACCATTTTCAGCTGCTAGAGGGCCCTGGAGTAATATGGCAATCCAAGATTCTCATTAATAGGTAAAATTGGCTATTAATGAGACACTTGGCTTGCCATACTAAGCCACCTTCATCTCGCTCCAGGAGCCAACGTCAAATCAGCTGCAGTTTGCCGCGCCACCCAGGTGAAATGCAGCTGATTTGACCATTAAAGTAAATTTATTAAGGAACAGTTCAACTGAGACACACATTTGCTATAATTTCAAACAAATAATGTTTTTTTACGTGTTTATCTTGTTAAATTTTGAAGAAATGCAGGACTGTGAGTCGTCCCTATGCGCACTCCCACTTCTGGGAATCGGCTTTTGAAATGCAGCTGATTTGACCGTCAAAGTGCATTTATTAAAGTAAACTTAGACTTACTTTTGCTATAACTTAGAGCAAAAAATAATTGTTTTTAAGTGCTGATCTTGTTGAATTCTTGTTAAAGTCCTCCTGTGTACGCTTCCGAGGCCGCTATTTGGCAGCCAATCGATTTTTTGGCATAACACCGGACCCACATTTCCGGGTGGTCAGCGGTGACACTAATAGATGAGACTTATACGGCGAAGCAACGTATTTATGTTTTGTCCACTTTATTAGACATATTTGAACGGATGCGTCTTATACAGCAGTGCGATGTGTACGGCAGAAAATACGGTATTTAGTTTAACGTTTAAAATGATTTATTTTTTTAATCCAGCCAACAGTCTTAAATGTTAACATGTTGATTAGTTTTCTGATTTTAAACACAAACATCTTCACTTTAGGCTGCTTTAAGTTTCTTTGTTCACTCTTTCATGGTATGTTTTTGCACAATGCAGAGGACAGAGATGGAGGAGGATGACTCGTGGCGACCCCTGAAGAGGGAAAAGCCGAAAGAAGAAGATTTTTGCACAAGAATGTGGCTCATAAATTTAACAAGCTGCCCCCCCACCCACCCCCCACCCTCTATATAACACACACATATACAGTTACACACTCACAGGGCGGGTGCAGAAGGCCAAAGGTCAGATCCGGGTTGCCTCTGTAGCGCGGACACAGCTGGCTGGCAGAGGAGGCGATGCGGACGTCAGCACGAACACACTGGTCTGGACTTGAGTCTCTGAGGCTGAGCTGAGAGAGCGGACCAGTCAGTGCTGGACAGCAGCGAGACCAGAACTCAGAGCGTTACGTAAAACCACTTGGCTCGGTTTTGTTTGTGCATGGGCCAGCAAAGCTTCTGCACTCATCCAGATGGACAGCAGAGGTTTTATTGACCTTCTTCCCCACTATAATAAAACAGCTCTTACAATAACGGGAAAAAGAAAGTTGTGCACACGCTTTCAGTTCTAAAGTTTTATGTATTAGGACACAAAATGGATTGGGTCTTCACCAGGATCTAAAATTACCATCAATAAATATCAGTCAGCAGATTCCACTATGGAATTATTCATTAAACAAAAACAGCTATCAGACAATTTAGGAGGTTAGACATTAGCTACTGATCAAATTCAACTTATTGGTTGATCATAAAGAAGTGTGACCACCACAATAAAAGCAGAAGTTTTAGCAAACTGTTGGTGTCTAAATCCTGAACCTTGAGGGCCTCTATCCTGCATGTTTCAGATGTTTCTCTGCTTTAGCACATCTGATATG